CCAGTTAAACTGGAGAGCACTCTCAAAACTTTAAGTAATAAATATAATCTGAAGGAATCAGACTGGTTATTGAGTGCCATGGTACAGAATAAATTAAGCTGTAAAACACTTGAATGGCTCTCAAACAAATATCACAAGGGTTATTTTGGTCTGGAGGAAATAAGACTAGGTCTACAAGAATTAATTGTTCAGTTGCAGACCAGCCAACTAACTCATTTTAAAGATGCAACACATAATAACTCTGAGGTATCTGTCAAGTTTCACAAAGGGAAAAATTATCCCAATGTTGTTAATCAAAATTCATTTCCTAAAAAGAGTTGCATAGGTGCATATCAAGTAGCAGGAATCAGAAATAATGATTCTCCACAAAGTAAGAAGAATATGTACCCTCCTAAGAGTAGCCCAGTTAATAAGAAACCAGTCAGAAAAAAGAGATTGTCTTTTCTGCAAGGGTACTCATTTTTCTAAGAATTGCAATGCATACAATTCATGGAATGATAAAGTTGAAAGATTGGAGGAACTTGACAGATGTATCAGGTGTTTGGGTAATCACAATGTAGAGGATTGTTATGCCAAATTAAACTTCTGTTATCAATGTCACAAAGGAAGACACCATATAGTCATGTACTCACCTATTTGTGGTTGCAGGGGTCGAGGCATAGCTCCTGGCCCAGCCTCTTCACTGATTGCTACTAGGTCCTCTCTCTCCCCGCTCCATGAGCTTTATCAAACCTCATCTTAAAACTGTGTATGGTTCCTGCCTCCACTACGTCATTTTCTAGGCTATTCCACTGCCTTACAACTCTATGACTGAAGAAATACTTCCTACTATCTCTCTGACTCATTTGTGTCTTCAACTTCCAATTGTGGCCTCTTGTTTCTGTGTCCCCTCCCTGGAACATCCTGTCCTTGTCCACCTTGTCTATTCCACGCAGTATTTTATATGTCGTTATGTGTAAGGGTCTATATGATAATGTTGATAATGATAATGTTGACAATCCTGACACAACAGTGGCTAATGTGAAAATTGCTGCTAATGTTAATAATGATGGTTTTGCTGAAGTAGCCTTACCTGTGTTACAGGTAAAAATTGATGATAAAAGGCATAAATCAAAAAATGTAACTGCATTATTGGACCAGGGATCCCAGCGTACTTTCATAAAACGTAAGTGTCTTGATGGTATGAAAGTACAGATGGGAGATCCCACAACTTTAAAATTATCTGGTTTTCTCTCGGATAAAAAGGCTCAATTGTATGACACTGTTTATGTAACTGTCAGGTTGGGCAATGAGAAAAAATGTGTTAATGCAGTAATTGCAGATAGACTTCCAGATAAAATATCTACAGTAGGGCTTAGTAAAGCTACAGAAAGACTCTCACATAATGTAAATTTAGCACCTTCTGGTGTAAGTGATGATTCTGTAGGCCCAATAAATATTTTGATAGGTAGTGACTATTATGCCTCCTTTGTAAAGGGTATGGTAAAGAAATGTGGTGTCACCCTTTTGAAGACTGCTGGAGGCCATGTAATGTATGGCAGGATTCCTCGTAATAATTCATGACTAGAGGAAACTACAAATACCATAACTGTGTGTCTTACTCATGAAATCGTACCCCAGTATAATTCTTCCATAGAGGATGGTGTTGAGCCAGTGCATAAATTGTGGGAATTAGACAGCATTGGAATAAATTTAAATGAAGAAAGTCCAGACGATTCTTTTACTCAGGAGCAATACCTGAGAGATGTAAAATTTGAATATGGACAATACTGGGTACGACTTCCGTGGAGACTGAACCATCCAGAATTGCCCACTAATTACAGAATGGCATATGGACAGTTAAAAGCTCAGCTCCACGAACTGAGTAAGACCAGAATTGTTAACTGCCTATAATGATATAATTGCTGAGCAGTTAATTAATAAATTTATAGAAGAGGTACCTCCTGAGCAAGCCAAAATTTATGGTCATTATTTGCCACATCACGGAGTGAAGAAGGATTCTAAGACCACTCCTTTGAGAATTGTGTTTAATTGTAGTGCCAGGAGTAACAAAAATGTACCTAGTTCGAATGACTGTTTGATGACAGGTCCGTCGTTGACGGAAAAATTAGGAGATATTTTATTAAATTTCAGGGTAAAGAATTATGCCTTTACGGCTGACATAAGTAAAGCTTTCCTAAGAGTGGGTTTACAAGAGGCTGACCAGGATTGTACCCGCTTCTTATGACCTAAGAATCCTAGTGACCCACTTAGCACTCTGAAAACCTTTCGCTTTAGGAGCGTATTATTTGGTGCTACATCCAGTCCGTTCCTACTTCAAGCGACGATAAATGCACACCTCAAATGTATGGGAAGTCCATTGAGTAAAGTAATGAGCAAACAATTTTATGTGGACAATTTCCTGGGTGTGACGTCAACTGAAGAGGAACTGTTAATGACTTATGGAGAGGCTAATAAAATAATGCAAAGTGCAAATATGCCACTGAGGGAATGGAATAGTAATTTGTCCAAATTAAAGGACAAAATAAGTAAAGGTTACCCTGGAGATGAAGTCCCAAAATGTAGTAATGTATTGGGATTAACTTGGGATACTGAGAGAGATTTGTTAATGTTAAAACCTAATAATTACAGTATGCCCAACAAATTAGCTAAGAGAGTTTTGCTTGCTGAAGTTTCCAAATGTTTTGATCCACTAGGTTTAGTGTCACCCCTTATTATAAGAGGGAAATTATTAATTCAGGAAGCATGGAAACTTAAATGTGCTTGGGATGAAGTTCTACCTGAGGAATTCATTAACAGGTGGGATGAATTAATTGGTGATTATGAGAAAATTCCAATGTTGGAGTTCCCATGCCAGGTGGCCAATCCAAATGGGAAAAATGTACTCCACATTTTTTGTGATGCTTCAAAATTGGCATATGGAGCAGTTGCTTACCTTCAGTGTAATAGTGTTATTTCTCTTGTTATGTCTAAGGCTAAAGTGTCTCCAATTAAATCACGTACTTTACCTCAGTTGGAATTAACAGCCATTTATGTAGGTGTCAAATTAGCTAATTATATAAGAAATAAGTTGCAAGAGGTAAATATTAGCGACACTGTAATTTGGTCTGATAATGAGGTATCCTTAAAATGGATTCGCAATGGAAACAGTAAAATTGTGTACGTACAAAACAGAGTCACTGAAATTTATCAGATGCAAGAGAGGTATAATAGTTTGGGTCAGCATATGTTAACATTTAATCATATACCTGGTGAGGAGAATCCAGCTGATTTCTTGTCTCGAGGTTTACCTTATGCTAAATTTGTAAATGCTGTATCATGGTTTAAAGGACCGAACTGGTTGGTAAATAAAGCTAATTGGCCTGTAAAAAAGGCGTATATTGCTCCTGTTGAAATTACTGTGACCACCGCTCCAATAGTTTGTCCTCCCTTAGCCAATGATATAAGCAGGTATTCTTCTTTACCTAAACTAATCAATGTAACTAAGTTGGTGTTTAAATTTCTAAACAAGATGAATATTTCATTAAAATTTTCACATCCTCTTGAATATTGGATAAAGATGGTACAGGAGGAAATATATGGAAATGAGATTAAATTGATGATGGAAAGAAAAATTGTGAAAGGTTCCATAATAGAGAAACTGGGGCTGTATTTAGAGAACAATGTAATTAGGTGCAGAGGTAGGTTACAAAATGCTGAATTGGGTGATTATGCTAAACACCCTATCTTACTGTCCAAAACTCATCTAACAAATTTAATTGTTCTAAATGCCCATAAAAATGTAATGCATGGTGGGGTACAAGATACCTTAAATTGTATTAGGGAAACTTTCTGGATTCCACAAGGACGGCAAAGTGTAAAAAGGGTGATTAAATCTTGTGTAATATGTCGCCGTGTGGATGCCAGATCCTATATGTACCCAGGTCCTCCACCATTGTCAAATGAGCAATTTGAGTCGTTTAGCAACGAACTCCGGCCGGCCGCAGTGTGGAAAATACTGTATATATTTTCCGGAAATACGGTAATTTATAGATAAATAGATGGCCTATATTGTATTTAATAAAATTTGTGATGGAAAATGGGAAACTGAGCCTGCGCCTGCCCAGGAGGGGACTCGCCATCTTGGTTTTGAATTGGATACAACGTTATAATGGGAAGAATTTTTCGTGCTCTAGAGGTTAAAATTGGATTGACACCTCTCAAATAGGAGGCGAAATTGTTGGATGTGCATTCCTGCATAACTTGAGATATCAGACGACTGGACAAGACAGCTCCAGGAACCTCAGATAAGCTCTCTAGATTTGTGTATAATTCTAGCCAGTGTTTTCATAAATTTAGTTAGTGAGGTTTTTCTGAGTATGATACAACTTAATATCCAGTCAAATTGGTGAGTGATATTAAGATATATTTTCCTTCTGTTATGTATATGTGAATTTATATATAATAATTTTTTAATATACAGTCCACAAATTTATATATTTCCCAGTATTCCTGGTGTATGTATATTTCATTTAATTAATAGGTCCAGAGCAACTTGTGGATATGACAGTGGTAGGTATCGAAGGGGGACATTTTTTGCGACCTAGGTGTCCCAAATTCCTACTTGTCTATGTAATATTGATAAATAATAATTATCTTTGTTATCATTTACTGTTATGTACATAATTAGTTACATTCAGATAAATGCAATTTTCCACACCCCTGAATACCACCTACAAGTCAATCAACACCCACTGGTAATGGGTTGGGTAAATATTTTTGTTAGTGAGTTTTGGTTTGAGAAGACCCACCTAGTATGGGCCAATATGCCTGCTGGAGTGTTCCTCCTTTCTTTTCTTCTTATGGCAGCAAGTGTAAGGAAACATGCCTAACGTTTCACTGGTGCCGGAGATTGAATCAGGTGCACTCAGCATGTGAGCTGAGTGCGCTACCAACCGAGCCATGGAACTCTTAATTATGTGCAAGTAAAATGCATAGAACAACACTGTCAGGTTACTTACAGTGCAGCAAAAGTGTAGAAACACGTGCCTGATCCCAGGCCAGAAGTGTCCTCTCACCACGACAGTAGAAAGATGACTGACCACCTGAGAGAGGAGGAGGAGGAGGAGGAGGAGGAGCAGCAGCAGCAGCAGCAGCAGCAGCAGCAGCAGCAGCAGCAGCAGCAGCAGCAGCAGCAGAAGCAGCAGAAGCAGAAGCAGCAGCAGCAGCAGCAGCAGCAGCAGCAGCAGCAGCAGCAGCAGCAGAAGCAGCAGCAGAAGCAGCAGCAGAAGCAGCAGCAGCAGAAGCTACAGCAGAAGCTACAGCAGAAGCAGCAGCAGAAGCAGCAGCAGAAGCAGCAGCAGAAGCAGCAGCAGAAGCAGCAGCAGAAGCAGAAGCAGAAGAAGAAGTAGAAGAAGAAGAAGTAGAAGAAGAAGAAGACCAGAGTCTGTGACACTGGGCCAGGTACACTCTACGCACCTGCCAGACCAACGATAAACACTTATGCTGTGCTTTTAGCCACAACTTTCCGACTTATAAAACGTTGATCGTTTTTTACAGATGTTTTGGTCGCTGCACGATACCACAGACTTGTCCTTCGTGTGCCACAACCCCAGTTCCGTGTAGCTCGGTGCAGGATAGGAAAAATCGTGCCTCGAAACATTTAAAATGCAGACGAGTTGTTGCTGAGCTTCCTCAAGAGACAAGAACTATAGCTTAGACCTCTCGAGAGGTCCAGGAATGGGAGATCAACTTCAGGAGACCCCAGGAGCTCTACCTCAATATATTAAGTAGCCTAGCACCTATATCTTAACACCCTGAAAAAAGGCCCAAGAGCTACAGACCAACACATTCAAAGTCAACACCCATGAGGCCCAGGATTTGGAACCTAACTCATTCAATCACTGAAAACATTTATACAGTAACCACAATTTTTAAAATAAATTTATACCTACATATTCCAATAACAATTTTATCCATCCTCTTACTAGGATACACCAGCATTCAAAATTTGAAATCAATCAGAAGAGGTATTCTCAGGTTATCACAGGAAACCCGCTGTGTTATTTTCATGTATACATTGGCCAATAAGCACCTACACAGCCCATTAACAATACCAATCTTCTTATAAGTAAGACATATCAGTGTTGAAATTTTGAAGCCAATCAGAAAATCTGACAACTGAAAGTATACCCTTTCGGGGAATACTTAAAAGTAAATAAACTGTTGCATCACCTTGCAAAAATCAATCTGGACACCATAAATTATTTTGGTCACTATGCTATCTGACAGAGATCTCCTCCCTTACCATATAACTGCATTCCCCTGTACCTTAATGCAGGCAAGAGACATATAGTTGTTGGTATAAACCTTGGTAATAAATACCGACAAGTTGGTTTAGAAAGACACGTAAGCAAACACTATAACATATTAGAAAACGTTTCGGTGGCAATATAAACACAAATGCAGTATAATGTGATCCTTTATTGACTACGTTTCGCCCACACAGTGGGCTTTTTTCAAGTCACAAACAGAACTACCTGGGGTGGAAGGAACGCGAGTATTTAAAGTCCAGCTGAGGTCAGGTGAAGAATGCTGCATCTGATGATGTACCGAGTTGGGTTGTAGAGTCTAAAAACTTGGGTAGCTTGGAAAGGAGACTGGACAAGTTTGTGAGCAGACCTTCTACAGTGTTCTTATGTGGGATAGCGATGAAGAAGTTTCTTGGCAAGTGGTTCAGCTATGTTGTAGAAGCCACTATTCTGGTTGAAGTTGTCGGATATAGAAATAAGTGATGATTCCAGGATTCTTCGGTATTGAGTGTTGTCTTCTGTGGCGATAAGTCTTGAGTTTCTGTAGTTTATCAAGTGGTTGTGTGAATTACGGTGTTGTACGCAGGCATTCCTTGTGTCGTCAGACCTGCTTGCGTATTGGTGTTCTGAAATACGTGTTTGGAGGTCCCTTGATGTTTCGCCCACGTATAACTTGTTGCAGTCATTACAAGGGATTATGTATACCCCTGCAGAGGATGGAGGCTTGTCCTGCCTACTACTGGTGATGTCCTTGATGGTCGTGGTTGTGGAGGTAGATACTTGGAATGATGTTTTGGCAAAGATGTTGGAAACATGTTTGGCAATGGAGTTGGTGGGAAGGACTATGTATCTCTTCTCGGCAGTGTCTTCTCTGGGTGTGTTGAAGATGTTTAGTGCTCGCCGTCTGCAGTCTCTGATGAAGTGACGAGGATAGTGGAGTTTGGAAAATACCTGTTCAATTATAGTGCATTCTTCCTCAAGGAACTCGTTGCTGCAGATTCTGAGTGCACGCAGAATCTGCAGCAACGAGTTCCTTGAGGAAGAATGCACTATAATTGAACAGGTATTTTCCAAACTCCACTATCCTCGTCACTTCATCAGAGACTGCAGACGGCGAGCACTAAACATCTTCAACACACCCAGAGAAGACACTGCCGAGAAGAGATACATAGTCCTTCCCACCAACTCCATTGCCAAACATGTTTCCAACATCTTTGCCAAAACATCATTCCAAGTATCTACCTCCACAACCACGACCATCAAGGACATCACCAGTAGTAGGCAGGACAAGCCTCCATCCTCTGCAGGGGTATACATAATCCCTTGTAATGACTGCAACAAGTTATACGTGGGCGAAACATCAAGGGACCTCCAAACACGTATTTCAGAACACCAATACGCAAGCAGTCTGACGACACAAGGAATGCCTGCGTACAACACCGTAATTCACACAACCACTTGATAAACTACAGAAACTCAAGACTTATCGCCACAGAAGACAACACTCAATACCGAAGAATCTGGAATCATCACTTATTTCTATATCCGACAACTTCAACCAGAATAGTGGCTTCTACAACATAGCTGAACCACTTGCCAAGAAACTTCTTCATCGCTATCCCACATAAGAACACTGTAGAAGGTCTGCTCACAAACTTGTCCAGTCTCCTTTCCAAGCTACCCAAGTTTTTAGACTCTACAACCCAACTCGGTACATCATCAGATGCAGCATTCTTCACCTGACCTCAGCTGGACTTTAAATACTCGCGTTCCTTCCACCCCAGGTAGTTCTGTTTGTGACTTGAAAAAGCCCACTGTGTGGGCGAAACGTAGTCAATAAAGGATCACATTATACTGCATTTGTGTTTATATTGCCATTGTGTCGGTATTTTATACCATTTATTTCCAAAACGTTTCGGTCCTGGGACCTTGATCACTTCTAACATACAGAGGTAGAAAGACATTATATATATAGGCGGAGAGTGAGATGTGACGCACGTGACCTGAGGAATGTCATAAGAACATAAGAATGGAGGAACACTGTAGAAGGCCTACTGGCCCATGCGAGGCAGGTCCTTATCAAAACAACCTCTGTCTATGATGAGGACCAGTAGACGATGAAATCATGTGACTCCTGTGTTGTTGGGTTGGTGCTGCTTAAGTATCATGTATGCCAATGTTTTTGAAATTTTGTAGTTTCCAGTGTTGCGTTCTATAGTGTCGGTGACGGTGATTAGTGAGGCTTCTAGGCACCGTCGGCGTCTGAGGTCTGGTTCGGTGAGAACGAGTTGTGCCTCGTTCCAGTTCATCAAATGCCCCGTTGAGTCTCTGTGGAGGACACAGGCGTACCTTACATCGTCTCTGTTAGAGGCATTTCGATGCTCATTCAGGCGGACTGCAAGATCTCTGCCTGTCTCGCCTACATATTTCTTGGGACAGAACCCACAGGGGATAGTGTAGACGCCTGCTGTAGAAGTTAGAGGTGTGGGGCTGCGTTTAGTACATGATACTTAAGCAGCACCAACCCAACAACACAGGAGTCACATGATTTCATCGTCTACTGGTCCTCATCATAGACAGAGGTTGTTTTGATAAGGACCTGCCTCGCATGGGCCAGTAGGCCTTCTACAGTGTTCCTCCATTCTTATGTTCTTATGACATTCCTCAGGTCACGTGCGTCACATCTCACTCTCCGCCTATATATATAATGTCTTTCTACCTCTGTATGTTAGAAGTGATCAAGGTCCCAGGACCGAAACGTTTTCTAATAAATATGTTATAGTGTTTGCTTACGTGTCTTTCTAAACCAACATATAGTTGTATCTCATAACCATTAATGGGCAGAACTGCAGCGCGACTTCCTCAACATGCCTAGGAGCTATAACTCAACCCTAAGCTAGCTACCTAGCTTAATCCCCAAAAGTTCTAGGAACTGTAGATAAATACATTGTTCACAGTTGTAGATCGTCCCTCGGTTTTTTTTTTATTGGAAACACTAAACCTGTGTGGGTCATTCAGTGCAAAGAGGGGATGGAGGCATGATCCTCTGTCTGCCATTTGCGAGACACGCGATACCTATATGTACTCGCTTAGTAGCCTGAAATTCTTGAGAGGACCAGGAGCAAGAGCTGAACCTAATCAACCACTGTAACAATACTAGGCGAATTACTCAACGAAACTTGTCGGGCTACTTCAATAGAATTATCGACTTGCAGACCTCAGTGCTCGGATTTCCTCAGAGGCTGATTTTCGGAGGTGTTAGCATCTCCAGATCTCAGCAACCAACACAGTGATTTCAGTGACACCGACACTACAGAATTGGATCTGTGCTCCGGTTCCCTGAATTGAACCTGAATGCCTTCCATCCTTTCCCCCCACAGGCGCTGTATGATCCCTACGGGTTTAGTGCTCACAATAATAATAATAATAATAATAACAATCCAAGTCATTCTGTTTCGTTTCTTCCAATCTAAATGTCCAAACCATCTCAGCAACTGATCCTCAGCCCTCTGAATAATACTTTTAGAAACTCTACACCTCCATCTCAGGGATCTGCTGCACTGCAGACTGGGTCTTCAAATGTGATCTACAGTTTTGATGGGTGTCAAAGTACCAGCACTGTTAGTTTTAGTTCCCTTTTATTTGCTGTACTGCAATACATATTAAGGATAGAAGGTCTCTGCAATTGAAAGACTTTAAAAAACATTTAGTTGTTGTCCGGGGAAACATGGCCCGGGTTTCCACTTTGGTTACATGGAGGTTTGGAGCTAAAGTTGATAAAAAATATTCGACTGATTGTAAAAAATTCTTTTTATTATAGTAAAAAAAGGTTTGGGTTTTTAAGCCCCCAAATT